AATTCATTCAATATAATTAATGATTCATAAATAAAACCTAAAAAAGTGTAGGTTGAATAAATTAAAGATTTATGCTTTATCGTAATAGCCAAATTATTTTTTTTTCTTAATATTTGAAAATCACACAATCAAATTTCAACACCACTATACGTACTATACGCACTATACGCACTATACATAAAGTATTGTAAAGTATTGTATAGTCAACTATATGCCATTTGCCCATCTCTAGGATTGCCCCAGAATAGAATAAACTTATGGAAAAAGGCGTTGAAGAAGCATCAATACTGCTAGATAGATTTTCCTTGGTTGTACCTATATTATATAATAATAAGATCATGTTACAGAAAGTGTTGGCCATATATACCTCTGGTGTTAGCTTGGACTTTGCCAGAAATTATTAAGAGAGAATAATTGTGGTTTACGATCCCCCAAAAAGGTTTAAATTAAAGACCAAATTGAAAATAATATTAAAGATAGGTAGAGAATTCGACACTACTCAAATTCATCGCGTTCATTCTTAGTGGCAACTCCCTGGTTACCAATTATCCTAGCCTACCCACTGATTCAATCGGATATTCCTATAGGAACAAATATCTTACAGTACTGTCTCCACATGGACAATCATATTGCATTATCATTCAGCATTAAAGGAGAAAATGATGCATATGTTCGTTGGCTTATTCATGCTCTATTTTGACTTTTTTGGTAATTCAAGACCATTATGAGTAATAGTCATAAAATTTGTAATTCGTTCTTGTATTCTATTAATAAAATTAAATTTATCTAAACACCTTTTAACCATGTAATCAAGCAGACCTGATACTAAGCGGCGAGATTGTCCATAATATCCAAAATATTGATTTGGAACGTCTCTATAAATGCATCAAATAGCATAAAAAATTGTGGGTACAGATTGCTCATACAGAGAGTGCCTCGGAAGAATTTGTCTGGTGCAGAAGGAGATTTTGGAAAGAGCCACTCAGTTATGTTAGGAATAGTGGAACATGGCATTCTGAAATACCTTTAGGCCTGGAGAATTTATGGTTGGCTATCCTTTTTTAAAGAAACAAAATATTTATTATTTCACTTTGATAAAGAAAGCTAGCTAGCAATTAAATAAATAAAATTATTATTGTTGTTGTATAATCAATTAATTAATTATTAATCTTTTGATTTTTCGTTAGTAAAAATCTTTTTAATATCATTTATAGAAGAATCTAATTTTTTCTTAGTTTCTTCTGTTGTAGAAGAAATTGAATTATGAATTTTTATAACTTCAGGATAACCTTTTTCATATTCTTGAAGTTTTGATGCAATGTTTCTTGAGGTTTTTGGTAAAAAATAATATGATGATGAGACAGTAAATAACAATGGACTAATTATTCTAACCAAAACATTACCTTTAATATATTATTTAAAAATAAGATTATTATTATCTTTGATTTTGTTAGAATATTTAAAATTTCAATTGAAAATATCAGACTTACTGTTTCTTGCTACAATTGTACCAGCTAAACCTGCAACTGCAATGTATAAAACATTTGGCATTAATTTCTCATCAGGAGAGATTACTTCTTTCAATAATTCTGATATTATTAGTAGCAACAATATTATTATTAACAAATATATAGATATTATCATAATATATTTCTATTAATACAAATGATACTATTCATACTTTCTGCATGTTTTTCTTTCTCTATCCATTTATCCGTAATATTATTTATCTTTTTCTATTCATAGAAGAAATATATATTAATAAACACTTTGAGAAAAATATTTAATGATTTAATTAATGGATTTAAAAATAGCAAAACTATTATTAATATTTACTTCCAATTCTTTAGAAGATTTTATTATTTTAATTCTTGTATCTCTAATGCTCTCTTCTAATTTAGTTGATGTTTCCACCAAAACTATTTCTGGTTCCTCATCATCATAAATTTTTAACTAAATTAAAAATATATACAAGCATATACATATATAAAGTTTTTATTAACTTTACTATTTTTTCATCGAAAAAAAAAATACAAAGGATTAATATTAATTAAATAGTTTTTACTTTTTTAGGATTTTGTTCTTCTGCATAAACTGAAGCATTTGAAAACATTAAAGTTGTTACTCCAGCCGCTCCAATAGTTCCGGTGACAAAAGAATTCTTATTGAAAAATTAATTTTAACATTCAAAATAATCTAATAATTTTTAATAATTTAATTCATTCTAAAATTACCTTCTGTACACGTTTAAACACGCTGAAAACTCTTGGTAATCTATTCATTATGAAAAAAAAAAGAATTGATGTTTTTTTCCAACAAAAAATAGTTTTTTTTAATCAGCAGCTGTCACATGATTAATTTTACCTTTTTTCCCCCAAAAAAAACTTTTAAAAATGCCTCCGTTACCAGTAAATGTTACAACACTTCCAACAGTTTTCATAAATGCTATACTTGAAAACGAGCAAAAAATAAACAATGATCCAAATTCTTTAATAACAAAAAACAATGATCAAGATCAAGATCTGCTGAATTCGTATAATGCTGATCGAGAAAAAATATTTGCGTGTATACAACGAATTGAAGATAAAATAAAAAGTTTGAAGGTTTTTTAAATTGTTACTATAATATTTGTACCTTTTTTCTTTTTCAATAAAAAAAAATTTATTTTGGATTTTGATAATTAAATAATTGATTGCACAAACTTTTTTTTAACAAAATATAGAAAGATGTTTTAAAGACAATTCTTATTCGTAAAGACAAATTTGCAAAGTTATATAATAATTCTATAACTTTTAGAGATAGAATTGATAATCTATTTTTAGAAGTTGATGAAGTTCATAAAAAAATTCATTCATCTGAGGTATTCTACAAAAATCATATCAACTGGACCTTATCTAAATAAAAAAATTGATCTTAATATGTTCAACAATTATAATTAAATTTAGAATGGCTTGAAACCAAAGTTATTGATGGCACTTCATCAACTTCACACAATAACTCAAGAACTTCAAAATACTGCATCACTAGTGGATGTGTTAAATTATTTAAACGAGGTGAAGATATATATAATTTTAAGAAACTTGATGATTATTGTTAAGTTTTAATTTCTATTGATAATATTTTATAAAGATACAAATATTAATGAACAAAGTTCAAGAATATATGAAACAAGGTAGGATTGAAGAGGCAGCTGGTAGCATCAATGAGATGGTATGTTTAATTACTTAAATAATTAAATGACTGGTTATTAACTAGACGGGATATTTTTTGGTAAAGGCTTATTATTGACCTCAAATACTTTTATTTTTAGGATAGATTATTAGAATCTCCGCCAATAAAAACAGAAAGACAAGTTTATATTTTTGATAAATTAAAGGTCTGTAAAAATAGATATTTTATATTTTAGGTAAATTATATTTATTAAAATGGAAATAGTGACTTTGATTTAAATGATCCAAGTTATATAAAATATATACAATATTAAATTTTTAGTGTGTTATAATGTTTAAATTGATATTTAAGATTAAGGAATGTTTACTTAAAAAATCATTTTTTTTATTATAAAATACACATGTGCGCACAATGTTTATTAAAACAGGCGCAGTCATCTATTATGAAGGAGACGTTGGATCAAAATCTTGATGATTTTTTAAATCATGCAATTTCTTTTAAAAAATATGAGGATAAAGAAGAGATTGTTCTCACAGTTTTATCTTCCATAGAAAGTAGGTTACAAGATTTATTATTTAATAATTATTCACATATATATTCGTATTTATACTTATGTTTATGTGTAACCTCACAACAGATGAAAATTTTACTATTCTTTTGACATCCATATTTGTTTCATTAACTGAGATTGATTCGATCAACATGCAACTATCAAGATTAAAAAAAAATGTCATGAAATATCTGATTAGCCCTTTAATGAAAAATAAAGATTCTTGGAAAGTGTCAACAAAAATTGAAGATGATGATACAACCGCCAAATTAATAATTGGTCCTAATGTCGATAATTTTGATTATGATAAGGACTCTTCTAATAATAATGATGATGGTAGTGGTGATGACGAAGGTAAAAAAAATCAATCAAATATTTAATAATTTATTTACGCATAAATTTAAAGATACGAATTTGATAATTTTTTTGTTTTATTATAGATAAAATCTTTATACTTTTAATTAGCATATTTAAATTCATCTATACATTTATATTTGGTGGATTGGATCCAATGTCAAAACGAACCACCATATTACCTGTTGCAAATGGATACGCATCAACATTTGGAAAATTTATTTCACATGATTTACGTGACGTTGTTATCAATGAATATCTTTCTAATGTCATACCAACCGAAACATCCGAATTTAAAAGATTTGAAAAAGTGGCCAGCTCAGTAAAAGAATTTCAGAATGAAATGCGTAAAATGGGATTCATGCGTCAACTTCATAGTAATTCAGATGAGGAGGATGAGGATGAGAGAACACTAGGTGCTTATGTTGCTAAAGTTGACATACATTTTACTGTTAAAAAACGTGACAAGATGTTAGAATCTGGACGGGAGATAATTTTAGATGGCGATTTTGATAGTATAATTGTCGATAATGAAGGAGAAAAGGCATTAGGATTAGAAGATAAAGAAGATAAAGAAGATATAGTTGATAAAAACGAAATTTTAGACAAAAAACAAACCCCAGCTGATAATCAACAAAAACAAAAGCAAGACGAAATAATTTTTAATGATGAACCGACTGAAGGATGGGATGTTGATTGGAATGAGACTTGGAATGAAGATGATGCTAATGGTGTTAATAGTGATAACTTAGTAAAGGAGCCAGAAAAAATAATTGATCGATATTCCATAACAAAAAAATCTAAATTATTAATTGATCTTACTATAAGCACTTTGAAAGAAGCACAAAAATTGAATTCAAAAAGGTGCGCGTGTGTTGCTATTATTGTTGTATCGTTATTGTCAACAAATTGTATAATAATAATAATTTATTGATTTATAGTGGAGTTCGACTCTTTCAAGCTACACTTGATTTATTTGATTTGTATTGTGCTATTATGCCTATATATTATCATGATAAACTTAGTGAGGTGCCTGCATTAACTATGTTATTTCGCAATGATTGTATATGGTTAGCTGATCAATTGTTGGATATTCAAGAACAATATAACAATAATGAAAAACAGTTTATTCTGGATCCATTAAATACTTTTAATGCAACAAAAACTAATATTTTTTATAATAATATGGTAAATAAACTGTGTGGGTTGGGTAAAGAATGGTATGATCTTCAGTTGGTAAGTGGATATTGTTATTATTTTATTTTTACAAATCCTAATACTAATACTGATGTTATTTTTTTTTTCATATAAAAAACATTTAAAAGGATAAGCAAAAATCAGGTTTAAAAGAGATCTTAGATGAAATGGGCGGATTTGCACAAAGTGCAACTGATGAAAAATTTGAAGCTTGTCAAAGAGGAATGAATCAAGTTGTTCATACTATAAATCATTTATCAAAAATCTTGGATGTTAGTTACAAATAATTTGCCAACTTTTATTTTAAAAAATTGAGTGCTAGTAAAGTTTGATTTATTTAATTATTTAATCACACATATATTTATTTGTATAGGGTGTGTTACGTCCAATAGAGCTTTATAGTGTTTTAGGAGAATTGATAGATTATGTATTAATGCAAGTTATTGATAATATAGAAGATTTATATGACATTTCAGCTGAAGAATCTGAACAATTAAATAAGATATGTGTAATGTTGTATCAATTAGAAAAATTATTTAAATCAACCGAGGTAAATAAAATATCATTTAAATTATTTAAATCATATACAACACTTTTATATTTGTCAATTAACAATGTTAAAAAAAAATTTTCAGCCATATAAAATAACAAACCATGTAGAAAATTGGATAAAATTTAAACATATAACAGACATCTTAACAATCTCATTAGCAGAAATTATGAAAAGATTCCATAGTGGACATTTGAGAAGTTTCAGCATTGATGAATTAGAAGGACTTGTATGTGCATTATTCGCTGATAGTACTTTAAGAGAAAATAGTTTATCAGAGATTAGGGAAGGTCATCCTATTTAATTAATAATTCTAAAAAAAATATAACTTATATAATAATAGTTTTAATCTTAATTTGTATAGCATGGTGGTGGCATTGTTACATATAAACAAACAAACGTTTTTTTATAAATTTGATTATTAAAAGTTTGTAATTCAGAAACGGATCATCACTCCGAGAGGTGACAATTATTAGCATGCGCGTACCATATATGTTGAAATTTTTTGTGGAAACTGAATATCTTGCACGTAAAGTAAATGTTATTACCTTTCGGGGGAAGGAAGATCTTCCCATTTCCAAAAATTTCAGAACATATTAAATATTAATATTACTAAACTAATTTAATGTTTTTAATATCCGCTCTGAAGCGCGCTTCAAACATGCTTTCAATTAATTATACTTTAAAAATTACATCATAAATAGTTTGATTTGTTAGCAGAGTATGTTTGAAGCACATGCTCAAGAAAATTCATAGAGTAACGGTAAATAAATAAAAATATGAATTGCCAAAATGTAACGTTTACTTTATTGTGCATAGAGATGAAAGCAATATGACTGTTAACAGATTTGGAGTGAGTAAATTTGGCTCTAACTTAGTATGCCTAAGAATATTTATATGGTGCAAGGCAACTTATACTCGTCAAAGTTTACGGGCGTTTTAAAATGTAAATTTCGTGCTACAAAGAAAAGACGCAGATCAGACCAATCAATTACAACCGATCGCGTCTTTATTATCATCAATAAAGAAAATTATTAATTATATTGTAAATCAAAATAAAATGAATACCACTGACTTCAAATTATAAAAATCAAAACAAGAAGTGTAGAAGGTAAGTATGAGCCACGATTATTACAATGAAGAATAGAAAAGGAGAATAATAATTGATTTTTTTCTTTTTCCGTTTCCTTTAATACATATTAATATCTAAAAGAAATACTTTTGTTTTTGTATAAAAAATTTGTTGAAACTATAATATATGCATGTAATTACAATCACTTTGAAACTTATTTTTGAAAAAATGATTCTGTGTTAATTATATAAAACAACACTTGCTATCCTATTTTTGCATTAAAATCAATGCTAGGTAGGTAATTGGGTAAGTAATATTTGAAGATAGAAATTGATTTAGAAATGATTTTTTTTATTGAAGTCTTGCATAGCAAAATCTAAAATATCAGCATCAATGTTCTTACTTCTTTATAACATATTTATTTACTTATTTAAGAAATCCTTCTGGGTGATCTTACAAATTCTAGTCATTAAACTGGCAGGAATGAATCTTCCATACATTCTAAAGACTATTTTTTTAAAATAAGCATTTTGACGAAATATAGTACCTAAACATAAGAGAATAACAGAATATAATGGTAATGTTGTGAAAAGATAAGCTAATCGAAATGACCAAGGTCCTTCAATGAAGCTTCCTTTATAGTGAAAGGTTTAGTTAGGTCAATTGTTTATTTAGTTTTTAAACAAATATGTTTGATATATTTACCATCTATTCCAAATATATCATTGACTATTGGTCTAACAACTCTAACAGTTGTTGAGCCAGTAATTCCAAAAACAATAAATCTTATAACCCATGCTTTCCACCAAAGCCATTCCCAACGTCTGAATTCTCTATTATTATTATTATTATTATTATTATTATTATTATTACCATCATCGCCACCGAAATTATTTTCGTTATAACTACTAACACTGAAATGTCTAATTACAGAATTAGTTAATATCGATAATTTATTATTATTATTAACTTTGTGTGATAAGAATGAAGATGGATTTGACAAAATTTTTGTTATTGTTTCTGTTGATGGTTTATTACTAAACATTTTGGAGTATAGTATTAATTGTGGTGACAATGACTGATTTAAATGCTTGATATTTATTTTAATACGAAAGGAGTGTGAAAAAAACTTAACAGAACGAAAAGGAATTAACATTTTCTTAAAAATTTTTTTTTTTCAATATTAATATTGTTACACTAGTCAGTTTATCATTTATCATTCCAACAGTCACATAATTGACCAATACTGGTTTAAATCAAGATCACCTGAAGATGGATATTAATTATATGGTGTAGATCATCTGTAATCAATTAATTGCTTATAGTAACAATTGGCCAGCTTCAAAATACTAAAACAAAAAATTTTTATATCATTTTAAAAAAGTTAACCGATAAATTTTATTGCTCATGACTCAAGCTTCAAAACTTATCAGCTAGTTTTTCTTAAATTAAAAATTGGCAGAGCCTTAGCATTTTGAAATTCCAAATTTTGCTATACACTTGAGAAATTGAGACTGATAAAATGGGCTGGGCGCTGTAGATCATATTAATATATGACAGATAAAAAAATTTTCAAGTATATTTTTACAATTGAAACATGTATTTAGAGAATTTTAATTTATTAAATCCTTCATTATTAATTTTTTTAGTCTTTTGTATTCCTCTGTAACATCTTTTGAATATTTAACTTGAGAAAAATCAAATTTTAAGATTCAAAGTTTATTTAAAGGATTTACCCAACATATATTTGTCCTTCTGCAAATATGCTTTGATCTACAGATATGGTTATGTGAGGTGGGGTTAGGCTTTGTGTTTTATGAACAGTAAGGGCAAAGGCATTTTGAAGTGGAAATTGTTTTCTTGAAGCTCTCTTTCCATCAATTTCAAAGTAATATGTTTCTTTTTGAACTACTACTTTTTTATATACTGTTAAGTGTATGAAAGGTCACTTCTATGTCAATTATTTTTGTTGCAATTCCTGTTCTGCCATTACAAATATTTTGTTCAAATAATTTATTATTGAGAATGTAGCTTTTTTAAATTGATTTTCATAATGTTGTTGTTTATGCAAGGATTCAAAATTCAATGTGTCTTCAGAATTTGAAATGATTGGGTCATTGTCAAATGAAGGAGATTCACACATTAACATATTAATATCATCTGCAGCTTGACAAATACCAACTACAGTTTATTCTCTCTATAACGGATTTTATTAGTATCAGTTAAATTTTATATAATGTATAACGGACAGCACCCCGAAAACATTCTATATAAATCCCTCTCTCTATACCGGATTC